TTTCAGTGTATTAACAAGAGTTGTGCAAATCATCACAATCGATTTTACAGCATTTTCATCCCATTAGCAGTCTCTCCCTATTCCTATGTTCCCCCAACACCTGACAACTGATGATCTACATTCTGTATATAGATTTGCCTATTCAGGACATTTCATCTGAATGGAATTATACAGTGTGTGGTCTTTTGTGACTGGCCTTTTTCACTTAGCATAATTTTGTCAAGGTTCATCCATGTTGTAACATGTATCAATACTTCCTTTTTATGACTGAATAATACTCCACTATATGGATATACTACATTTTATTCATTCATTTCTCAGTTGGTGGACATTTGGGTTGTTTCCACTTTTCAGCTCTTATGAATAGTGCTGTTATGAACATTTGTGTACAGGTTTTTATGTGGACATATGTTTTCATTTCTTTTGGGTATATACCTAGGAGGGAAATTGCTGGGTCACTTAGTAATTCTATGTTTAAACTTTTAAGGAACTAATACTCTTTTCCTAAGTAGCTACACCATTTTACATTCCCACCAGTGGTGAATGAGAATTCTAATTTCTCCACATCCTTGTCAACACTTCTTATTATCTTTTTTTTTAAATTATAGCCACCATTGTAGTGGGTGTGAAGTGGTATCTCGTAGTTTTGATTTGCATTTCCTTGATGACTAATGGTTATAAATATCTCTTTATATGATTAGTGACCATTTATCTATCTTCTTTGGAGAAATGACTATTTCTCCTTTGCTCATTTTTAAATTGGGTTGTCTTTTTATTACTGTTGTAGGAGTTTTTTTAATATATTCAGGATACAAGTCCCTCATCAGAAGCATGATTTGTGAAAATTTTCCACAAACCGTTTTTTTTTTTTTTTTTATGAGAAAGATTGGCCCTGAGCTAACATCTGTGCCAATCTTCCTCTGTTTTTTTTATGTGGGACACCACCACAGCATGGCTTGATGAGCGGTGCATAGGTCCACTCCTGGGATCCAAACCTGCAAACCCCTGGCCACCAAAGTGGAGTGCGTGAACTTAACCACTATACCACCAGGCCAGCCCCTCTACAAACAATTTTTTAAACTTCCTAAATAATAATATTTTGAAGATGGGTGGTCCATCAAATCTGATATGACACCACTCAGCCACTGAAAGTGATTTTATAGCATTCATCGCCACTTTTTAATGTATGATTAAGTGAAAAAAGCAGGTTCTAAAACATTATGAGTCTTATTTAAAAATAAGCCGGCCCCATGGCTTAGCAGTTAAGTGCATGCACTCCGCTGCTGGCGGCCCGGGTTCGGATCCCGGGC